GGTTTAGGGGTTTAGGGGTTTAGAGCCCAGGATCCCTCCACTGAGCACCCCGGCGCTGCAGCTTCTTCTAGGTCGAACTCGGCAGCCCTTTTTGTTGTTTTTTGAGGATTTCGGTGGTTTCAGGGAGAGGGCGGCCGGCTTGGAGTTTAGGGCTGTTTAGGGTTCAAGTCTTATGGGGTGCCCAAGGCTACTGACAAGATGCTTGCCACGCCCGGAAAGCCTCGGGAAGAACCGAGACGGGTAAAAATATCGTCCGTCTGGGTCGGTATACTGACCCCGCGCCGTGAGCTCTGAACCCAAACTCACCCAGAAAGCAGCGAAGCCTAACCCCCAAAGGGGGCCTGAAAAGGCTCAAGACTTGCTAGCACAGGTTGACAAAGCTTCAGCCTCAAGCGTGATTCAAGCAGAGATCCACACCCTGTGATACCATAAGGTAACGCACGACACTAAGGGGTTTAGGGTTTAGGGTACCCTAAACCCTAAATCCTAAACCCTAAACCCACTTCCCGCGACATATCAACGGCCTGTCTGCCGCAAGGCACTGAACAACCTAGGCTTGGGGTGCAAGTCACGACGAAGTCGAGCTGCTAAAACGGAGTGCGGCCGACAGCTGACGACTGGGACAGAGGGGGGGTCACTACAATGACAGACTGTCTACTGATGACCAGTTGATTGTATCAGTTGTCTCCGATGGCACAACGGAAAGGTTATGATATGTGATCTACAGAAAAGATGCTGGGCTTGGGCAGGAGAGGCTCGCGAGTTCCGAATGAATGGCGAGCCCTTAGCAGGAGACCAGTGTACTGCGGAAGGGAGCGAAGAGGATACACGAAGTCTTGAAAGGCTAGAAGCACGACGCAAGCGGCATGTGATAGGACGTTCGACATCATGCTGCATGAAGTCCCGCCGTACGGCTGCATCGGGGCCAGAACTCCCACGATCAAGAACTAACATAGGACAGACAATGGCTGCCGCAACTACCTGCGTGGCGACAAGAACAACCTTTTCACAATGGCAGGGTTGTATTATTACTCCCACGGTAGGCCCCAAATCATCAAAAAGTACAACCAGAAAAATGGTAGATACAGCCATAAACCTCAAACCATCCTAAACCTCCTAAATCGTACCATCCCACAACCCTCAGACAGCATAACCCGAAGAACCAAACAGCAGAACTGCAAGAACCCCACACCATCTACTCTAGACCTTATAGAGTTTAGGGTTTAGGGAGTCCTCATCCTTAAATCCCAAATCTAGGGACTCTTAAAGCATAGAACCGTACAGAATCCGGCCCCCCCTCTGGAATTATGAAAAAACGCCTACAAAAGGGCCCTTCGGAGAACCCCTAAAGCCCCAGGGCCTTGAGCCTTGTGCCGGGAATACTTTAGGGCTTCTGGTTTAGGGTTTAGGGTTTAGGGCTTCGGGTTTAGGATTTAGGGTTTAGGTTTTAGGGTTTAGGGTTTAGGGTTTCTGGTTTAGTGCTTCTGAATGGAACACCTTTTTCCGCCTGCCGACTAGTCCACTTCAGGAATCCACGAAGCTTTAGGGTTTAGGGCTTTGGGGGTAGAGCCCTGAGAAGTGTAAACGATGAACCAGCCTGAAGCCGAAAAACGGAATACTCCTGGTAGACTCTGCTACACCCCAGCAACAAGTCTCATAGTTTTAGCCCCATTCAAAAAAGCCGTACTAACAAACCCTGACGATCCTACGCAAACAACACCAAAGGAAACCACAAATTGTCAAGCAACCAATAACCCTTGCCCGATAACTTCAAGCATTTTTGGCAAAACGCAATGCGCAAAAAGACAGTGTGTGCATGCGTATGTGTACGTGTATGTGTATGTGTATATGTATGTGTGTTTTTCTAGCTGCTGATATGATGTAGGTATATACGTACATGTGCATATATATATATATATATACATATATATATATATATATGTATATATATATATACGCACACACACACACACTTGTATGTGTACATATATATATATATATACGAAACACCAAGCTTCTGATGGGGACCTGGGGCCAGCACGCCCAGGCCCTCGAGCAGTTTCTGGCGTGCGCCCTGGCTGCAGGTTAAGGCTCGATCGGGCTTTTAGGAGTTTAGGGCTTACGGTTTAGGGGTTTGCGGTTTCAGAATAGGGTTTAGGGTTTGTGGTTTAGGGCTCAACGGGTTCAAGGTTTAGGGTTTAGGGTTTCGGGATTTAAGGTTTTGGGTTTCAGGCTTAGCGTTTAAATTCTCTGAAGGAGATTCAAGAAGCAAGCTGCAATTAGATCAGAAGGCTGTATGAGGGCCCGGCGGGTTTTATCAGTCTTTACATGGTCCTTATGCGGGTTCATAGGGTTCTGAAGGCCCCCATGCAGGTTGAGGTATATGCGCCTTCATACTTAGATGGCGATATTATATATATATATATACACACACATCATGTATACCGCATATATATATATATATATATATATATGTATTATATATATATATATTTATATATATATATATGTATATTATATATATATATATATTCATTCTGTATATGTATACACATGTACATGCTTTCATTTACGCGTTCTTTATACTGTGTAAGAACGGCATGTTTGAGGACGATAATGTAAGTTGTGCAAAACCATGTAGATCCCGGAAAACCCTATCAAAACCCTACAAGACCGTTTCTGCACAGCCTCCAAACCCCCGAACCCTAGACCCTATAAATCTAGGATCCCTACAGAATCCTCTTCTCTTTAAGAGACCACGAGCCGACCTCGACGTCCTCGCGCCCGAACCGGACGTCCGGCAGACGCCTCACGTCGAAGTGGCGAAGGAGTTGCCAAACCTGCCAGTTCAGGGTTCAAGATTTCAAGATTTAGGGTTTAGAGGATAAGATTTAGTGTTTAGGGCAAGTTTAACGTTTAGGGTTCAAGCTTTAGGGTTTTTGGTTGAGGGTATAGGATTTGGGGTTTAGGGTTCCGGGATTAAGGATTGAGGTTTGAGGGTGCTGGAGTGTCTGAGTCAAATCTGCCAGGGCATTGGGTTCAAGGTTTAGGGGCTTACGGTTCAGCGGTTCAAGATTTGGGGTTTGGGGTTCTATATAACTAATATCAAGTATTGTCCTCATCATCAGTCCGAGCAAGCCACCGCAAGACGCAGCTAAAAGACAAAACTGGGTCTGCCGTGTTCGGCGCCTTAAGGGCGCAGTGACTCACCACGAAACGCCTACATAACTCTTCTCTAAATCCTAAACTCTAAACCCTAAACCCTAAACCCTAAACGCAACCCTGGACAAAATCTCCGCCAGGAGCACCGGCACTTTTCTCAGACCCTCCGGATCCAGCTTTGACCACACCTCAAGCACCTGGATACACAGCGGAGTCTCGTCGGGACGGCTTTGGGTTTCACGCGTCTTGCAGGTAGACGGTTGAGGGTTGAGGGTTTAGGG